AGACAATCTCAATTTTAAATTGTAGATCTTTCAAATTTGAATTCCAAATCTCAGATCTGAATTCTTGTAGCCTTTTGCAGAAGATCTGTAGCTTTTTCAAAGGATCATATTAAAAATAATATCTCTCTAATATTTCGGCCGTTGCTCTGTATGTAGTCCATGTGAAGAGACTTAAAATATTTCTGATGCAGATCTTATCTTCACGTGAAGGCTCTTTAAAATAATCTAATGTAGATCTTGCCTTCTTGAACTTCCATCTTCTGTGTATTTTATTTTTCTCTGTAAGTTGGCTACTGATGAAGTATTTCGGCCACTGAGATGTCTGGGTCTCATTTTGATGGTGAGATTTCAATCCTTGATTGAAACTTAATCTCCAACTTCAGCTCTTACTATTTATAGCTTTTGAAACCTCAGCTCCAACTTCAACTCTTGCTATTTATGGCTTTGGAACCTTAGCTCTTACTATTTATGGCTTTGGAACCTTAGCTCCAACCTCTGTGTATTTTATTTTTCTCTGTAAGTTGGCTATTTCAGCCACTGAGATGTCTGGGTCTCATTTTGATGGTGAGATTTCAATCCTTAATTGAAACTTAATCTCCAACTTCAGCTCTTACTATTTATAGCTTTTGAAACCTCAGCTCCAACTTCAGCTCTGGCTATTTATGGCTTTGGAACCTTAGCTCTTACTATTTATGGCTTTGGAACCTTAGCTCCAACCTCTTCTCTTACTTCATATTGAAGTGACTTATGAAGACTTCATCTCCAATTATTTAATTGATTAAGACTTCATCTCCAATTATTTAATTGATTAAGACTTCATCTCCAATTATTTAATTGATTATTACCTATGCTCTTATTTAGTTTCGAAACCGATCTTGAAACCTCAGCTCCAACCTATGCTCTTACCGCATCTCTCACTTCTATTATTTAATTGATTTCCAAACTTCTCTCCTTGGAAGAGATTTAAGGCTTCTTTATAAAATTGTAAGGAGTGAGTTTCGAACTTGAGACCTTACGGTTTCTACATCAAGCTTCCATCCATCTCAGCTGTACGGATTATTGGTAAATATTGCATTCCTCTTGATGTACTTCTTTCTTTCCATAGATGCTTGAGCTTCAAGATAACTTCATGAAATTTGCGGTTGCTTCTCGTTTTCTTCCATATGAGATTCATCAATATGACTTTCATCTTGAGTTGGGCGTGTGGGCTATTTTGCATACATATCATACGCATACATCTTCTTCTTTGTATTTTTCCCTTTCTTCATATTTGTTAATTTTCCTTTTGTGGTCTATGACACGCCTAGACTTAACAAATAAAATTGGGGATTCTAAAATACAATTTTGGCATATCAAAATCTATTACAATTATTCCTAACACATACATATCGACTGATGATTTTGAAGAGAGACACACTCAACTTGAGACAGAATTTGCAAAACTTGTTGCTAGCTGGGAACAACTTGTAAAAGTGAATAAGAATCTGAATGACGAACTGAAACAAAGAGATGATCGTCTAAAGGATTTGAAGGTAGAATTGGTCATAAAAGAAGATCTCATCACACAGATACGATCCAGAGAGGGAAAATTGATCAAAGAATTGGAGAACTTGAAGAAAAATATTCAAATGATGGATACTACATCTACCTTGGATAAAATTTTAGACTCTGGCAGAAATCCTAACAATAAAAAGGGTCTGGGATTTGAACGAGGAGAATCTTCGAATAATGCACCAAAGTTCATCAAAGAGGGAATGACTAAGACCACAGATAATCACAGGTATGAACGAGGTCAGTCATCTCAGTCAGTACAAAACCCGGAAATAAGATATGGTCAGAACACTAATGCTGACCCAGGAAGAACAACTCATCAGTCTCATTATTCGAGGTTCAAGAATAAATTGGTCAGAGTTAAATACTATACTCCTACCTGTCACTACTGTCAAACAAAAGGTCATACTCGACCTGAGTGTTATTTCTTCTACAGAGATCAAAGGAAGGAAAAATTTCAAAACAAGACTATTACACCTTTCACAAGACAGGTCTGGGTAAGGAAGTCAGAAGTCATTTGCTACCCCACCATTGTTCTGACTGCTTCAACAACTGATGCTAGATGGTACTTCGACAGTTGGTGCTCAAGACACATGACAGGAAACATCAAGTGTCTGATGACTGTTCAACCTAGCAGTGAAGCTGTAACATATGGAGATGGGCAAAAAGGTAAGATTGTTGGGAAAGGTACCCTAAATGTACCTGGCTTACCCTTGTTGAAAGAAGTCCTGCTAGTCAGTGGGTTGAAAGCAAATTTGATCAGCATCAGTCAGCTGTGTGATCAAAACTGGAATGTATGTTTCGACCGTAACTGCTGCAGAGTCAGTGATAAAGGGAAACGACTGGTCATGGAAGGAACACGGTCCTCAGACAACTATTACGTTTTGACTAATGAAGTTGCCTGTCATCTATCCAAATCTGATGAATCAAAACTCTGGTATAGATGACTGGGTCACATAAATTTCAGAGATATGGATAAACTGATAAAACTGGAAGCTGTAAAAGGTGTACCTAAGATCAAAATTGATCCAGAAAAAATCTGTGGTGCATGTGCTATTGGAAAATATATCAGAACTGCTCACAATGTAGTAAGAGGTATCACCACTAAGAAGTCTCTAGACCTTATCCATATAGACCTCATGGGACCAACACAGACATAGAGCATTGGAGGAAAGAAATATATATTTGTGTGTGTAGATGACTTCTCTCGATACAGCTGGGTGTACTTCCTGAGAGCAAAGACTGAAGCTTTCAAGGCGTTCAAGACTTTGTGCATAAGGATTCAGAAGGAAAAGAATGAGTCCATCATAAAAGTTCAGAGATTAAGGAGTGATCATGGAAAGGAATTTGAAAACTGACTGTATTCAGACTTCTGCTCCGAGCATGGTATATCACATGAGTTTTCAGCTCCCAGAACAGCTCAACAGAATGGAGTAGTGGAAAGAAAGAATTGAACCTTACAGGAAATGGCTAGAGTGATGCTACATGCCTCACATCTACCACAACGGTTCTGGGCAGAAGCAGTTCACACAGCGTGCCATACCATAAATAGGGTCTATCTAAGACCAGGAACGAACAAAACACCATATGAGATCTGGAATGGAAAGAAACCAAATCTGAAATACTTTCATGTGTTCGGCACAAAGTGTTATGTGTTAGCTGACATACAACAAAGAGGGAAGTTCGAACCCAAGAGCGGTGAAAGCATTTTTCTTGGATACTCTCCAAACAGTCGAGCCTACAGAGTCTACAACAAGAAGAATCAGTCTGTCATGGAGTCAGTAAATGTGGTTATTGATGACAATCCAGAAGAATCAGTTGATTCAATAGCTATAGAGTCCTCTCCAAAAGATCCAGATGAAAGTAATATCAACAGTCAGTCCAAGCCACAAGAAAAGTCAGATGAAGATGAAGAAAGCTCAGAACAGGAGACAGATCCCAAAATTGATGTTGGTAAAGATAAACCTACCAGGACTCAGAAGAATCATCCAACAGATAACATTATTGGAGATCCATCAGATGGGATGAAGACCAGGAGCAGAATAAGAAATAATCTGACAGAGGTGTCTGGATCTGCCTGTTATACCTCGAAAATAGAACCCAAAAATGTCAAAGAAGCTTTGCAGGATGATCTGTGGATTAAGGCAATGCAGGAGGAGCTACATCAGTTTGAGCATAATCATGTTTGGAATCTAGTCCCAAGACCTGATGGTGTCAATGTTATTGGAACGAAGTGGATCTTTAAAAACAAAACTGATGAAGCTGGAAATATCGCCAGAAACAAAGCTCGATTAGTGGCTCAGGGTTATACTCAGATTGAAGGAATTGACTATGATGAGACTTTTGCTCCTGTAGCTAGACTCGAGTCAATCAGGATATTGCTGGCTGTCGCATGTATTCTGGGGTTCACTTTATTTCAGATGGATGTCAAGACAGCCTTTCTGAATGGATATCTCCACGAAGACATATATGTGGCTCAACCTAAAGGCTTCAAAGATCCAGAACATCCTTCGTATGTTTATAAACTTCGAAAAGCACTCTATGGTCTTAAACAAGCCCCACGGACATGGTATGAGCGTCTGACACAGTATCTGCTCCAACATGGATACAAGCGGGGAAATGTTGATAAAACTCTGTTTGTAAAAACTAATGGAAGTCATGTAACCATAGCCCAAATATATGTGGATGACATTGTGTTTGGTTCAACCTTGCAAAAATGTACAGATGAGCTGGTAAAGGTGATGGAAGAGGAGTTTGAAATGTCCATGGTTGGTCAACTGACTTACTTCCTAGGTCTACAGGTTAGGAAAAGTTCGGAAGGATACTTTATTTCTCAGGAGAAGTACGCTAAGAATCTTGTCAAAAAATTTGATCTGGAATCATGCAAATATTCCAGAACACCTATTTCCACCTCTACAAAAGTTTCAAAAGATGAATCTGGTGCATCAGTGGATAACACAGTCTATCGCAGTCTGATAGGCAGTCTGCTGTATCTAAAAGCCAGTCGACTAGATATAATGTTTAGTGTTGGAATCTGTGCAAGGTATGAATCTGATCCAAAGGAATCTCATTTGATAGCTGCAAAGCGTATTCTGAAATATGTTAAAGGAACTATACAGTATGGTCTCTGGTACTCTAAAGACAGTGAACTGAATCTGGTAGCATACTGTGATGCTGACTGGGCAGGAAATATTGATGATCGAAAAAGTACTTCTGGGGGATGTTTCTTTGTTGGTAAAAATCTAGTGTCATGGCTCAACAAGAAACATAATTCAATATCCCTAAGCACTGCAGAGGCAGAATACATAGCAGCAGATGTTTCTGGACTATGGTCTTACACAGGGAACAATAACACTCTTTTGTGACAATGTCAGTGCTATTAACATCTCCAAGAATCCTGTTCAACATTCCAGAACGAAGCATATTGACATCAGGCATCACTACATCAGAGACCTGGTTGAATCCAAGGAAATTGAGTTGGAATACATTCAGACTGACAAACAACTAGCGGACATTCTAACTAAGCCACTGGATGCAAATAGGTTTGAAATTCTCAGATCCGCTCTGGGAATTTGCAGGATTGACTGACTAAAGCAGTAGGTCCATCAGAGAGGAGTTGGTTTACTACGGGTCAGTGTTATGACGTTGACTTTCCTTGAAGTCCCCTCTCTGTTTAAGTTAAGAAGTATATTTATGCTTAGTCCTCTCCGAAGATATCTTAAACGATCTTATTGGCTTTTTAAATTTCAAATTTCCTTGGGATTTGTTTCGTTCCTAAAAAGAAGCTTTACCATTGCATCAATCAATCACTTCTGCATGCTATTTGACAAGCCGCTTTGACTAGGGCTTATTATTCATAAGGCTGTGTGTTACCGGGTCAAGAAGAAAGAAATCATTCATACTCTCATCTCCTCTCTCTCTTGCATATCTGCCCTCAAAGAGTTAATCTTCTCTCGTCAAATAATCTTCCATGGCGGACCCTGTGAGGAATATTATCATCAGACTCGGAAGGAAGGTACATTCTCCGGCTACCGCCCTGAAACATATTCAGACACTTATGCAGTTCGCTATGAAGAAGAAGCTTAAGCTTGATCCTCTATTGCGAGATGAGATTCTTGTGACTGTCATGTCTAACTACCCAGAGTTCTATGCTGACTGGTCGGCAGACGACGTAACTGAACTCCTTGTGATGGTTGCTGAAGCCAATGATGAGGTCTCACCAGTATTTATTCCAGAACCGGATGATGGAAATCGGGCCGTGGCATTCCTGCAATACTTTGCTCAGCGTGCCCTAGAATCCGATGAAGCTGCTCGTCGACGAGAAGAGTCCCAAGCTCTGTATCTCGAGGCCGCTCAAAGAGAAGCTACACATAGACAGGAAATTCTTCGACAACGGGTAAATGACTCTGAAACCCCTATTGAGATTTCTCCTGATAGACCTGTTGATCTCTCTATTCCATCTTCTGTATCTATTTTACCTAAAAATTTATCGACTTTGGATTCTATGAAATCCCATGTGAATGTTGATCCCCCATCTTTACCTTTGACTGATATTTCTGGTTAAAAATATGAGGTGTTTCATGTGAATGTTGAGAAAACAACGACCTCTGAAGAGCCAAATCCTCTAAGTCTTGTTGTTTATGATTCTGAGAAATCTGCTCTGCCTTCGTCTGAGACTGACAATGTCCCTAAAGAACCCTGCTCTGCCGTTGATCCACCTACCTTGCCTACTGTTGAGACTGATACTCTACCAAGTCCCAAAAAGTCTGGGAAAACAGGTGGAATCCCTGTTTATGCTGCAAGAACTATGGAAGAAAACCTGGAACATGCACGATATTTTGTTGGGTTACCAACTTCTTCAATCCCTCAACCTTACCGAGTCATTCATCCTTCAGACTCCTCCAGTGAAGATGATAAGATTCTAGCCGAGGTGTATGGATCCCAAGCACCTTCATCTGCTGCTCCAACTGTTGAGGATACCGCTCACCCAGATACCACAAAATTCAAGATTCGAGAGATTGTGAATGTTGTGGGCAGTCTGTCTGCAAATGTGTCCGATTCAAGCCACTCGGTGACTCCGATTCCATCTCCGACCAAAGAAACTAGAAGAACCAAAAGGTAGAATGTCCCGACAAAAGTGGTTGTTGAAACTAGTGCTGATACTGCTTATGTTGACCAACCTACAAAGAAGAGAAAGCGGAGTGAATCTGCTAAGCCTGAAGGTGATCCGCCAATTCAACAGGTGTTTAAGACTCTACGATCATCGGTTAAGCCCAAAGGGACTACTGCTGTACCATCTGCCTCTGTACCAGCCCCTTCTGTAAAAAGGGGGAAGCCATCCACGCGTTCAAGAGGACGCAGTGTCACACCTGAGGGTCATCCTATTGACGACACTGATTCTTCTACTAATCAACCTCAGTCTGGCTCTGCACAACTGGCTTCCATCTGCCCATTTCAACACAGTTGGAAAGCTTCTTGCAGGATTCTTATTTCGGATTGGCACTAAGATGAAGCTTGATTTGGGAAAAGGACAGATAACTCCTCCGTACACTATAGTAATATTTGCTTGATAAATGAGTAGGTGTTGAATGTGGACTCTCTCCGTTTAAGAAACATCAACAAAACTCACTAAACCTTTTTTTAGATTTGACTAATTTTATAATCAGAATGAGGTGTTTGGTAAATAGCTATTAGTTGTTGTTAGTCATGTTATTAATATTATTATTAATATTGTTATTTCCTGTTATAGTAGAATAAGTCAATAAGGTAGTGTAGTGGCTAGCCTATTTATAGGACTAGTTTATGTTAATTCATCTGCTTTAGTATTACAGTTGTAATCCTTTTCCAACTGAATGAACGATCATTATTCTCATCTGGTATCAGACAACCAGGAACGATTCTCTCTCCGTCTCTGAACCTCCACCAGCACCGTACCCCGCCGTCCCTCACCAAAATGTCCACCAATTCATCCGAGAGGACCGTCACCGCTGCGCCGGCCGCCGCCCCCAACCCCCTGGCGAGTGCGCATCACTTCGTTTCTATAAAACTGACAATGCGTAATTTTTTTATTTTGGAGGACTCAATTGGTGACGTTCCTCCGTGGCCAGGAACTATTAGGCTATGTGGATGGTGAGACTCCATGCCCGCCGCCGATAATCGATGCTACGCCCATCTCCGGCGAGTCGACGTCTGCCACCACCACCCCGTCTCCGATTCCAAACCCTGCGTATAAGGCATGGATCAAACAAGATCAGTCGATCTTGTCCTTTCTTATCTCATCCCTCTCGGATAAGGTAATGCATCTAGCGGTCGGACGGACTACATCGCGAGAGGTGTGGGAGTCGATCACTACGGCTCTCAGCAGTTCCACCCGAGCTCGCTGCCTAAGCCTCCTTGGCCAGTTCCATTCGCTTCGCCAAGGTAATAGCTCCGCCGCTGAGTATCTCAGTCGTGCTCAGTTGTTGGTGGAAAACATTGCGTTGGTCGGCTGGCCAATTTCATTGGATGAACAGAATCTGTTCGTCTTCAGAGGACTGAGACCGGAGTATAGAGCCATGGCGTCGTCTCTCACAGCGGCAGGAACTCCGGTGACCATCTCCCAAATTTTGGACTACTTGCAGGCCCAGGAGTTTATCCATGCGGAGGACTTTCCGACGGGTTCAGACGCAGGTTTCGGGGCTGCTCCAACGGCGCATCTGTACCGTCTGCGTCTAAATCATTAAAGTTATCTAATGTCTTGTTTGTTCCCAAATTGTCCGTTCCTTTACTCTCGGTACAACGGTTTACTAATGAAAATAACTGCTTTTTTGAATTTTACAAGAACTGTTTTTTTCTGACGGATTCCACAACTCGGGCAGTGCTGCTTAAGGGGCCTACTCTGGGTGGCCTATATAGACTCCCGGTGTCACAATATCACTTCGCGTATCTCACTTCCCGTACAACTCCTGATGTGTGGAATCGAAGACTTGGCCATCCACATGCCAATGTTCAAAGCCGCGTTTTGCAAATATGTCCAGTTGCGTCAAATAAAGCCAATTCGTTGGAATCGTGCAAGTCATGTCATATGGGAAAAGCTTCTAGATTTCCTTTAGATAGGGTTCCTTTTAGTAGTAATAATGTGCTGGATTTGTTATATACCTACATTTGGGGACCTTCTCCTGTAATTTCTTCTAGTGGCTTTAGATATTTTGTAATCTTTGTAGATGACTTCTCACGTTTCCGTTGGTTTTATCCCTTACGGGTCAAATCAGATATATATAAAACATTTGAGTTGTTTCGAGTCATGGTAGAACACCAATTCTCGCATTTTAGAAGGTCTATTCAATCGGATCTAGGTGGGGAATACCGCAAACTTCATAATACATTTGTTAATCTCGGTATTAATCAACGACAGTCATGTGCATACACGCACGAACAGAATGGACGGCTAGAACATAAAAATCGACATATAGTTGAAACCGGATTAGCCCTACTGGCTGAAGATTCAGTCCCATTACAATACTGGGACTACGCGTTTGAAACTGCAACTTGCTTAATAAATTATCTACCCTCCTCTGTTCTACAGTTTCAGAGTCCATACAGTCTCCTACATAAAGTGTCACCCCCATACACATTTCTCCGAGTATTCGGGTGCCATTGTTACCCTTATCTACGGCCTTACAATCGGCACAAGATAGAGTATCGTTCGGCACCCTGTGTGTTCTTAGGTTACCCGTTGTCCTATAGGGGTTATAGATGCGTTGACTTAACATTTGGAAAAGTCTATATCTGTTTCCATGTGCGCTTTGATGAACACGTTTTTCCTTTTGCAGACATTGAGAAACAGGCCACCATCTCAGAATCACCATCGGCACTACCATGGGCGACCAGTCCTGTTTTAACTCAGACTGTGTCAACCACGCTGGTCCTGGAGTCACCAGCCAGTCCGGTACCCTTGGCTCAAGAACCACCACCGCCCTTGGCTATTGAAGGGCCTGTCAGGACCCGAGCAGTCAGGGTTCACAAAGCTCCGGCTCAGACTCGAGATCATGTAATGCGGCTGCGCCGTATGACTCGAGGCACGGGTGAAGAATTTCATGCCTTACACACGACCACTGATCCGACATGCTATTCACAAGCCATTGGACACCCACTGTGGCGTGAAGCCATGGATCAAGAGTTCAATGCTCTTCTTCACAACAACACTTGGTTGTTAGTACCGGCTAAACCTCACATTAATGTGATTGGGTGTAAATGGGTGTTCAGGACCAAATGCAATGCGAATGGTTCAGTTGAATGCCATAAAGCCTGGCTCGTGGCCAAAGGCTTTAATCAGGTGGCCGGCAAGGACTTTTTCGACACTTTTAGCCCGGTAGTCAAACTGACTACTGTGCGCTTGTTATTTTCTCTTGCTGTTTCTCATCAGTGAACATTGCGATAGCTGGATGTCCATAATGCCTTTCTCAATGGGCACTTAGCTAAGACTGTTTACATGAAGCAGCCCCCAGGCTATGAAGATCCAACACATCTGGATCATGTGTGCCATCTTCAGCGCTCTTTATATGGCCTGAAACAGGCCCCTATGGCGTGGTTCAAAAGGCTGCATGATTATTTACTCTCTCCAGGTTTTCTTCCGTCTAAAACAGATGTCTCGCTTTTCCATTACTCATCGGGCACATCTCGGGTCTACCTACTGGTGTATGTAGATGATATTATCATGATGGGCAATGACGCACCGTTGATTGCTACCCTTCTTAGCCGTTTATCAGACACCTTCAAAATTCGGGATCTTGGAACCCCCGGGTTCTTCCTTGGCATCGAGACCGTCAAGCTTGACTCTGGTATGATGCTCTCGCAACGTCGTTACATGAATGATATACTGACTCGTGTCGGCATGACCGACTGCAAGTCACTTGCTACACCCGCTGCAGTCACCCAGGCTGTCTCGCCCACTCAGGAGTCCTTCGACAACCCAACTCAATATCGTCGTATAGTTGGGGCACTTCAGTAATTGACAATTACACGGCCAGACTTGTCTTACGCTGTCAACCGGTTGTGTCAATTCATGCACTCTCCTACCGTTGATCATTGAGGTTTATTAAAGTGAGTGCTGAGGTATATTAAGGGGACGCTAACCTACGGTCTCCGGTTGTCGGTCTCCACCTCGTCTTCCATTCACGCCTTTTCAGATTCTGACTGCGCCGGTTGCTCGATTGACAGGAAGAGTACTAGCGGATATGCTGTGTTTCTCAGAGCAAATCTAATTTCATGGCTATCCAGGAAGCAACGCACTGTAGCTCGCTCCTCCACTGAAGCTGAATACAAGGCTTTAGCAGATGTCTCGGCCGAGGTCACGTGGTCGCTGCTCCGTGAGCTGGGACTTCATAATGGCGAGCCATCGATCGACTCTGTGGTGTGATAAACTCGGGGCAACTTATCTTTGTGCCAACCCTGTTTTTCACGCCAGAACCAAACATGTGGAAATTGACTATCACTTTGTCCGGGACAAAGTCGCATTGGGAGAAATGACTTTAAACTTTGTTTCAACCAAACATGTGGAAATTGACTATAATGTTATTTGATAAAAATACAGGGAGCATGATCGAATCCTTTAGTTTTCATGTACAATGTTTGACCATATATATATATGCAAATGGGGGGTTTTCATTCTTAATTAATCTTAGTTAACAAGACACTAATTAAGTAATTACCAGTTGGCCTAGCCCATAATATGTACAAATCATGCCCTCTTGCCTAATTCAATTTTGTATTCCAAATGTCAACATCGAAAAATGGACATTTGTAGAAAAATTATTAATTAGATGCTCCATCTCGTAGAGATTAACAAATTTAAATAAACTTAGAGATTACTTATTTACTTTGTTTATTTGATTGCTTTTAGTAACGGGTCAATGAGGGCAATGTTGTAAATTTTAACAGAAATAACATTTTAAGTGGTATTTTGTGGTATAAATATATGTGATGTCTACTTCTAATTTTGGTCGAGACAAAGTAAATTCGAGCTCTTTAAGGTTAGACGAATAAATTGATATATTATACGCTCAAAACGAATAATAGATGAATGAGATTGAAATTAATTCTTATAGTAGACCTATTTGATTGAAAATGGAGATGAGAAAGGCTTGGAAGTCGCATGTGTCCCACGTTGGAATAGGAAGTGATTTTGCACTAGATACAAATCCATTTTATAAATAAATTAAATCGTATAATATAAAAACTCTCTTCCTTCATTCTAACTTTTCGGGTGGATGTACCTTTCAGGTACATTTTGTGATTTTACCTCTAGGTCAAAGTTGTTAATTCTTATTAGTTTAGGACTTAATTTTAATTTATTTTATGAGAATTAACTATGTAACCACATGTGTTATTTTCAATTTCAATGACCAATTATGAGGGTTGCAAATATTATATAACTAAGATGTTAATTAATGTCATTGTTAATTGCTAATTATTTCACCCTCTCCTATAAAAATCTTGGTGTTGGCAGAAACTTTCGATAAAATTTTAAAGTTCTCTCATTGTGTTCTAGTTTGCCGAGAGTAATATAGCTTGAGTACTCAATTATATTAATGTAATTTATTTTATTCTGAGAGACTAACACTACATACAATAATGCTCCTAGCACCCTCTGGAATTAGCGAATTGATTTTAAGAAGGGTGTGTTACCCACTACTTGAATTTTCCATCCTTTTCGTTCTTCTGTTTTTGTTGGAACTGTTTTTTTTTTTTTTCTAAATTTAGATCCCGTTTTATTATTTGTTTATTTATATATATTGATGGATTTAATTAACCCAGGGTAACCCAAATTATTAAACCCGGATGAGAACGTAATACGGGAAATTTATAAACGGGACAAAACGATGTCGTAAGGCCACAGGGACCGTAGGGCGTGGAGCAAGAACGGGTCCCAAGGTGGTGCCGCGTACCCTCCCCGGCACGAGGCTTCGGCACGTGGCCCCTGCGCGAGCAACGACTGGAGGTCGGACCGACCTCCAGATGGGCTCGGTCCGAGCCCCAGATAGGCTCGGTCCGACCACCACAGCGCGGCCCGGTCGCGAGACCGGGCACGGTCAACGTGAGATCCAACTACCTACGTTTTGAGGGGCGGCGGTTTGGGGGTTTAGCTTGTATAAAAGCCCCCTCTGCCTGTCCTAACAAGACACATTCTATCTTACTTACGTACTTTGTACTAGCAAGACCATTGTAATAGCCTATTTACGGCATTTGATATAATATACGGTCCTCACGACCTACGGTCCCTGCGGCCTTACAACATCGTTTTGTCCCGTTTATATATTTCCCGTATTGCGTTCTCATCCGGGTTTAATAATTCGGGCCACCCCGAGTTAAATAAATCCATCATATATAAAAAAAAAATAAAAAAATTATCGACTTATTCATCCTACAGTAAATTTTAAAAAATATTAAACAATAATAATCACGAAATTATTTAAAACTCTAATCACACCGGTCCCATTTTGACTTAATCCTTCCCTTTGAAATTTAGCAAATGGAGTGGTCTAATTGCTCAAATTGTATGTGTTTCAAATAATATTTTGGAGAATGGTTAGATCCCTCAAATTGCTCTACGAAATAGGCCCAAATTCCAAATTAATTAAACTCCATATATAAGCACCTCTCTCTCTCTCTCTCTCTCTCTCTCTCTCTCTCTCTCTCTCTCTCTATATATATATATATATATATATATATATATATATATATATATATATATATATGTTCAGGTTCAGGTGCATTTTAGTGTTTCTCGTGCGGTTGTGCGGGTGATTAATGTGCACGAGTTTTGTACGTAATATGAGTGAGTCTTGTGCTTAATGTGCGTAAGTCTTCTGCGTGAGTTTTGTGCTTAATGTGCATGAGTGTATACTTAATGTGAATTGTTGTGTGAGTTGTTGTTGAAACTTTAAAGTGCATGAGTTTTATGCTTAATGTGCGTGGGTTTTGTGCTTAATGTGCGTGAGTCGTGTGCTTAAGGCGCGTGAGTTTTGTGCTTAATGTGCGTGAGTTGTGTGCTTAAAGTGCGTGAGTTTTGTACTTAATGTGCGTGAGTGTGTACTTAATGTGAGTTGTTTTTAAAACTTAAGGTGCGTGTGTTTTTGTGCTTAACATGCGTTAGGCTTGTGCTCAACATGCGTGAGACTTGTGCTTAACACGCGTGAGACTTGTACTTAACATGCATGAGACTTGTGCTTAACATGCATGAGATTGTGTTCTGAAGGTGATTTGTTTGTGTTCTTAATGTGCATGTGTTCTTTTCTTTAAGTGCGTCAGATTAATGCTTAACGTGCGTTCACCCGCACAAACTCACGGAAAGCCTCAAATACACCTGATCCCCGATTTTGGTTCCTATGAGGTCATGTCTTCCTGTGCGGTCAGTGCGGCATAGACCATTAGGTATACATAAATGCACCATACAGTGTTCGAAAATACACCAGAATGAAATGCCAAAAAATACACCACACAAAAATAATAATAAATATACCACACAGAATGGTGTATTTATGAACACTCTGTGGTGAATTTATGCATACCTAATGGTGTATGCCGCACTGACCGCAAGAGAAGACCTGACCTCACAAGAACTTGACCCTATATATATATATATATATATATATATATATATATATATATATATATATATATATATATATATATATATATAGGGAAGAGATCATGTGCATTTGAGACTTCCTGTGTGTTTGTGCGGGTGGACGCACGTTAAGCATTAATCTGACGCACTTAAAGTACACAACACACGCACATTAAGCACATAAACCTCACGAGGCAAGACCAGAGCTTCCCGACCCGTCACTGGGAACCCGAACCTTGCTCACGTCTGGATACGTACACTACCCTGTATAAATAGTATCATTTTGGCACCGTCTGTGGGTATCGAACTGAAAGTCACCCGGCACAGTGAAACCGATCCCTTAAAATGTTCCCATTCATGGATTTCAACAATGATGCGGAAGCTGAAGAGAGCACTTCCGACCTCCGCTCACAAATGAATCCACGAGTGGAGCTCAATACACCACCGGGAAGAGGACTGACCCCGAATCTTGTCAACTTCATCCAACCGGGGTTAGCGTTCCCGGCCATGGCAGGACAAATGCCGTTCCAGTACCCGATGTACACACTGGGATGCTCGATCCCGCTTACCCTTATTGGCAAAGCCCCCAGCGTTTCTTCGAAGCTCAATATCAGTGCCCCCCAGCACCAGGCATCTATCAGCCGTACATGCCGATGCCGGTACCAAATGTGCCGAATCTGCCCGAACAAGACCAATCAGTAGCATCAGCATCGGCGGTGGCTCCTGAGCTCCGCCGCGCGCAATCCGAGCGCCGACCCACCCGTTCAAGACTCGGACCAGGGGGAGCACCAGAACAGAGGTCTGAAGAAGTCCCTGCGAGAACTAGTGTTTTTTTACGCCTCAACCATCCATACACCAGCGGGTCGGAGCCCGACAGGAGACGAAAAAATCCGTGAACGCCCCTGTTTCCAGCCACATAGAGGGGTCCGACGAGGCTAGCAGTTGCCAATCCAGGAGGCTGGCCAGACGGGCTTCCGACCGCGATGATGCGCAGAATGAGGCGAGCAGGTCCGGGAAGAATTCAGTAAGTGGAAACGAGAGCATGGCCACCGATCGTCTGAACCCGAGGCACCGTTGCTGTGCAACCCATTTACGGCTGATATCATGAGCCTGCCATACCCCCATGACTTACACATCCCAGGAAACAAAGGTTACGACCGGAAGAGCGACCCGGAAGCCCACATCAACTCCTACTACGGTAACATGCTGATGATGGGAGTGACCGACGCAGTGATTTGTCGGGCCTTTTATTCTACCTTGACCGGGAGGGCGACCGACTGGTTTAAAATATTAGAACCTGGATCGATCGCCTGTTTCGCCGAGTTAGCGAAGAAGTTCGTGCACAAATTTTCAACGTCTAAAGAGGTGCGAAAGCACTTCACGTACCTCGAGAAGGCTATGCAGCTGGAGGGCGAGTCTCTGACTGATTTCTTAGTCAAGTGGAAGGCCACGATCGGTGAAGTTGAGCCGTTGGACGATCGAACAGCGATCAATGTACTCCTCTCCAACTTACGAGCAGGAGCCCTATACCAGGAATTCATTCTGCACCCGCCGACCACCTATGACGAGGCCATCCGTCGGGTCACGCTGGTGTAGTGAATTTAGCTAAACGACAGCAGGAAGCCAGGGGCAGTAGAAAGCCGCAAGGCCGTCAAGAAGGTAGTCGGCAGAGTGAGAGATCCGGCACAGGCCGAGGAAGGCTGCAAGATTTCACGCCCTTGAACAGACTAGCGGTCGACGTCCTCCGGTTCGCACAATCCTGCAACATGGTTCAACTCCCGGAGCCTAAGATAAAAGGTCTCGACAAGACGAAGTACTGTGCGTACCATCGCAGCAAAGGACATGAAACGGAGGATTGCACAACTTTGAGACAAATGATAGAAGTGTTACTACAGTCAGGCAAACTCACCGAGTTCACTACGAAGAAGGATGAAAAGAATCTTCTTGGAAGAACCCCTTTAAGAAATCTAATAAGAGTAAAAAGGATAAGGATCACGACCGGGGTCCCGATTCCCGCCAGCCAACCGGGAAGCAAGTTATTCATGTCATATTCGGCGGTCCTGACGAGGGTCCGGGTTGCAGAGAACGCCTCCCGGTTGGACTCATAGGGTCGGAAACTGGAGATAAAAGGCAAAAGTTGGAATCGATCACGTTTACGCCGAACGATATGCCCGAGGGTGAGGATTGCAACACAGAGGCGTTAGTGGTCACCATTGACATCATGGGAACAGACGTGCACAGGGTCATGGTAGACACGGGCAGTAGTGTGAACGTCTTCTATATGGATGTCTTCCAGAAACTCAAACTTGACCCGATTGAGCTAATCCCGATTGGAACCCCTTTGTCCGGATTCATAGGTGATACCATTCATCCTGAGGGGAAGATAGCGCTACCAGTGGAGATTGGCAGTCACCCTCGGGTTGTAAAAACCATGATGGAGTTGTAACACCCCCCAAAAACACGACTTAAAAACAAGTCTTAACACCTGCAGATCAAGCACAAAACTAGCACAGCGGAATATAAAAAGGATAACTGGATAAAGGAAATCCAAAACGGGGTGTTATGCCACGTATACCACACTTGGTATACACTACGACGACAATCTGCAAGTGTAACTACTATCCCAAAAACAACAAACTAGAACAATCTAATGACATTGGCACACAGGCCTCAAAAACACTGTCTAAAGATACAGGTGCTAAGCTACCGGCTCTAGACATCGCGCTCGACTACGCATCACCTGAAAGATACAAAGATAAACATCGGGGCGACGCCCGGTCAGCGAATAATGCTGGCAACCCACCAATACCGTTAAGTATCATAAATAGGTAGATATATAATATAAAAACCATTTTCGAAACGGAATACGTATATATAAGTCAAAAGCCAAGATTGAAAGACAACACAAGACTCACCACTCACAAGGATAACACCGGGAACACATCCCAACCATAAAGGTTAACCACACACAAGGATAAAGACTCACCCAACGGCAACACATGCCAAAACACCACAAGACTCCAT